CATCTTCCAGATGTAGATTCTTCAATCTTCAACAAGAAGGACCAAGGGGGATAACCCTGGAACAGTCATTACGCTTCAAATTCAAAGCCTCCAACAACCAAGCCGAATATGAGGCTCTGCTCGCCGGCCTAAGACTAGCCGAAGACATGGGAGCTTCGAGAATCAAGTGCCTGACTGATTCCAAAGTGGTGGCCGAACAAGTCGGCGGGAGCTTTCAAGTGAAAGAACAAAACATGAATAGGTACTACCACGCCTATCAAAAGTTAAAGACAAAATTCCAAGAGGTGTTGGTCGAGCACATCCCACGCGAAAACAACGCACGAGCCGACCAATTGGCGGCAACCAAAAAGCCGGGCCAACTGAGAACAATTATCCAACAAGAAATCAGTCACCCGAGTGTGGATGAGGAAATGATAGCAACTGTTGACACCGACCAGAACGACCATAATAACCCCTCCGACTAGAGGGATAAAATCAAGGCCTTCATCAACGATTGCGCGCTTCTGGCCGATCCCACCGAAGCCAAGAGAATAAGAACACAGGCCAACCGGTACGTCATCATCGCGGGTCTGTTGTATAGGCGCGGCTTTTCCACCCCCCTGCTCAAGTGTTTAGCTCCGACCGAAGCCGAATACGTGATACGAGAAGTTCACGAGGGGATTTGTCGAACTCACTCGGGAGCAAGAACGACCGTCGCAAAGATACTGCGAGCCGAATACTACTGGCCGACCATGAACACCGATTGCGACACATTTGTGAAGAAGTGCCAGCCATGTCAGAAACACGGCAACCTGATCCACCAACCGGCCGAGCAACTGCATTGCATTCCTTCTGCATGGTCGTTCACCACGTGGGGGGCCGATATACTCGGACCTTTCCCGACTGCTAAAGGACAGTGCAAGTTCCTTATCGTGGTTGTGGACCTCTTCACCAAATGGATCGAAGCCGAACCCCTAGCATGTATCTCGGCCCATCAGGTGCAAAACTTTCTATGGAAGAATGTCATCACCCGGTTCGGCGTCTCGCACACTCTTTTGACCGACAACGGCCTACAGTTCGCTGACCGAAAGCTAAACGAGTTCCTAGCCGGCTTAGGAGTACAACACAAGGTTACATCAGTCGAGCACCCGCAGACGAACGGTCAAGCCGAGTCGGCTAACAAGGTCATCCTTGCAGAATTGAAAAAATGGCTAGGGGAAGCAAAGGGGGCATGGGCCGAGCAATTACCCGAGGTGTTATGGGCCTATCGGTGCACCCCCCAGTCGACCACCCAAGAAACACCTTTTCGTCTAGTCTACGGATCCGACGCGATGATCCCAGTGGAAATCGGAGAGCCATCATTCCGCCGAGTCCACTTCAACGAGGCAGGTAATGAAGCCGAGCTACGAACAAACCTGGACGTGATAGAAGAAATCTGTGACCAAGCATTGGTCATAGCCGAGGCCACCAAACAACGGTACAAGAGAAGATTTGACAGCAAGGTGAAGCCTAGGGAATTCCGAGAAGGAGATCTCGTTTGGAGAGCTACGGGAGAGGCAAGAAAGAATCCGAGACAAGGAAAACTCGCACCAAATTTGGGACGGACCCTACCGTGTTCGGCATAACCTGAACAACGAGGCATACAAGCTGGAGTACTTATCAGGAGAACCAATTCTGAGAACTTGGAACTCCTCGCATTTAAAAGTGTATTACAGTTGATGTATTAGTGCACTCTTTTCCTTGACCGACTCTTTTTTCCCTAAGGAGGGTTTTGAGTCGGTAAGGTTTTTAACGAGGTACTTCATTAATAAAGAAAAATTTTATCACTTAGTCCTATTTTTTCATGATTAGGTCGCGCATAGACCGAGTGATGAGCGATAACGCGCGCTTAAAACAAGCATTGCTCGGCCGAGTACGACGTACAACGCGCACCGAACAAGTGCTCGGCCGACCACTCCGACATTTACCGAGCCTGTCAGGTTTCCCTCCCGAGTAACCTCCTCGGCTAAGGATGCACCTAGGCCGAGTACGACGCACAACGTGCACCGAACAAGTACTCGGCCGACCACTCCGACATGTACCGAGCCTATCAGGTTTCCCTCTCGAGTAACCTCCTCGGCTAATGATGCACCTAGGCCGAGTACAATGCACAACGCACACCGAGCACGTCTCAACCGACCACTCCAAGTTCGACCGACCACTCCAAGTTCGACCGACCACTTAAACGGTGTAATCGAGCCACAGGTTTCCCTCCCGAGTACCCTCCTCGGCTAAGGATGTACCTAAGCCGAACACTACGCTAAACAATCACGCCGAAACAACATTCGACCGACCACCTAAAACGGTGCAATCAAGCCCTATAGGCTTCCCTCCCGAGTACCCTCCTCGGCTAAGGACGTACCTCGGACAAACACTAGGTTGCGCACCAACACTGACCACGCTAGGGCAATTACGAATACGGGCCAATCGGACGCCGCCATTTGAAAATAACGCCCATCCCGACACCGAACGCTACAACTGCCGAACACACCGACCGGTATCATTCTCAACACAACGCACCTTAACCAAACTACACGATGAGTAATTCAACGCTCACTCCGAATACTATTGCACAACCCGAAACCGAAAGCGTCGAGCCCGAATGCGTCCGAGTTTAACTCTCGTTACCCAGCGCCAGCACTAAACCTCCCCCCCTCCCCCCTCGGTTAAGTACGCAGTTAAATTTCACTGATAAATAAACAAGCCAAAAGATTAACGCAAAGGGTTAAATTCATTAAAGTATGGCCGACCTATCCGGCTACTTACAAAAAATTTGAACCTACTGGTGCCAAAGGCCATAGTTACAAAAAGGCACTAACGACCCGGTTACACAAAAATAATAGTCCATTACAATTGGGCCGAACTCTCCAGATCCCCTTGGCCGACCACGTCGATGACCGGATCATCTTCCTCCTCAGTTGGCGGCACCGAAGACTGGGTTGAGATACCTCGACCGGGGGCCTCGGCATCCGGCTCGGCCCCTTGAGGGAATTCATCATAACTTATGAATTTACCCCCATAAAAGTCCCGACTAACATCAAAGTTGAAATCAGCCGGGACCTCGCAATAATGATATGCCTGCCGAACAGCATGCCTAAATCCCGCGTCATGCTGCTCTAAAATCTTGTCCGTAGCCTCGGCTTTGAACTTAGCAGCTTCTGCCTTCAGCCGAGCAATCTCACTCTCATACCCAGCAGCCTCGGCCTTCAACTTCTGTACGGCCAACTTCAGGTCATCGGCCTCTCTTCGGTGGGTGTCGGCGACCTTCTTCAAATCTTCAACCGAGGCCGTCACCTTAGCATTGGTAGCCAGCACTTCCCTAACTGTGGACTCGGGCTCCTTCAGTCGGTTGTGAAGCCTCGACTCGGAAACAACATGCCTCATCATAACATGTTTAGCCACCAGGGAGGTCCAAGCGTCCAGCTCACAAAATAACTTGTACTCGGCCTCCGTTGTCATGCTTTCAAGATATTGCAGCCCGCCCCCGGTGGTGAGCTCCAGGCTGACCAAATTCTCGGTCTGTACATCTGGAGCGAGGAAGTTGGACCCGGCGACGACGGCCGGAATGGCGAAGGCACCGCAGTCGGATTGCTCCAAGGACAGCTATTTCGACCGCTTCGAAGAAGAGCTCGGGTGCTCCGGCTCAATATTTTGCTCGGTCGCTCGAACCCGAGAGGTGTTCCCCTTTTTCTTCGGCTCACCTAGCGGAATCATTACGTGAGCAGGCCATCCCTCTGTGTCTTTAGCACCGATCTCGCCGGAGGCACATTCCCACTAGTTTTCGCTTCTTTTGCCCGCTTGGCGAGCATGGCGGTCACATCTAACTTCCCTCCGACCATTAATCTTGCAACAAAATAAATTTTAACATCAATTCAACAGAGTTAAACTACCGAAACCTAAAGCGCATACCTAGCAAGGCCATTTCAAAGTGAGATGTTTCAAAAATGTCTAAAAGGCCTCGGACAGGCAAGCCTTTCGGTAGTTGGTCCAGCAGCTCCACAATTTCCTTGTCCTCGACAGGGAGCCCGGATGCCGGCATCGCCTCGTAACGCATCAGGCGCTTCGTCCAGTAAAAGGGGAACAAAGGGGTGCCTTCTCGGTCATAAAAACAATCCCTCAAATCCGACCCCTGTCGGACCTTAAAAAAACCACTCTTAAAACCTTTAAAAGAGGAGGTAAAAGCCCGAAGGAACCCCCGCTTCGGCACCCGAGCCAATGACACCGATTTTATCGGTTTACTCGGTCGGTAAGTATAATAATAAAGAAAAGCTAGGGGTTGGGGAGCTAGCGCTGACATGCCCGACATAGACGCCGACTTCATCTGCCACAGGTTAGCAATACACAAGGAGGCAAAACCAGTCGCCCAGAGAAAGAGGAAGGTCGGCGGCGAAAGACGGGAAGCCATCATCATCGAAACGCAGAAATTGCTCAACGCCGGCTTCATCCGCGAAGTCAGGTACACTACATGGCTGGCAAACGTGGTCCTAGTAAAGAAGAACTCAGGAAAGTGGCGTATGTGCGTCGACTATACCGACCTCAACAAAGCATGCCCCAAGGACTCATATCCCTTGTCGAGCATCGACAGGTTAGTCGACGGAGCCTCCGGACATGCCCTCCTCAGCTTCCTTGACGCTTATTCCGGGTACAACCAGATAATGATGTACCCGCCTGATGAAGTGCACACGTCCTTCATCACCGACCACGCCAACTACTGTTACCGG